GGAAATCAGTGTTTTGATTTTCCGAGCTATAATAGCGCTTCATATTCTAATAATGAATAAATAAATGAAATTGACCACGATTGTTTAAACACAAAATAATAAGTAATCTCACATAATATCATTTATTAGTCCTGCTTATCAGAGTGTTCAAACAAAGTGGTAAGGATTTATAAGTTTTGTTCAGTGAAACAAAGATAATTAATTAATTTGTTGGGTGATGAATGAATGTATAAACATGTATCCTCATGCCTTTTAGCTGCATATTTCTTAAAGTTAACCTATATTCCAACATTTTTATAGTGGACGTGACACAGAAACTTGTACCGTCACGTGATACGAAGATGTCATATCTCACTGAAGTAAAACATAGTGGTGCTCGTGTGCAACCACGTCAGACCCATTCAAGAGAACAAGAAGAAGAGGCAAATGAAGATAAAATGGATGTCTACGGTAGGTTACCAAGTTACCAAATCAAGAGGACTTCTTTACTTTGTGCAAAAATTGGAACCATGCATATGCCAAAGCAAATCACTAACTCATAATCATATTTCATTAATATATCTAAGATACATGAGAATCGTGAACTTATGAGACCGACATTATTTTAAATACTGAGTTCAATATCTGTATCTGAAATGTGTAAGTGTCTTTCAGCAGTAAAAAACTTATGAATAATGTATAGCGCATTTATTTATAAGACTTGTTTAATCGTTGCAATATTCAACACTTGAAATATGTTATTTAAGATCTATAAGAATGTTTATTAACATTTATTTACATACCTTACCTTTTGAGCACATGTAGATAAAACATTGTTAACACCTGTTCAGTTGATGGATAAAACATGAAACTGATCAGGAAGTATATATGTATTTTATGATATTATACAGGGAAATATTTCATTTATAACAGATGATAAATTATCGAAAAAATATTTGCATTACATTGAAGAAGGTTTGATAAGATTGACTGCCTTCTTTCCTTTTGGTCTTTGTTTCCATAATTAAGAAACAGTAAATGGATGTTCAGGTATTTTGCGATCAAAACAATTACTAAATAAAGTTATTTTTTAAATAACATTTTTTATTGTCTTTGAGGATAAAGATGAATTTTTTTAAGAACGCAAAACTTTGCGGGGTAAAAATCATCTTTATAACAACCAATTTACTGAAATGGAATCTCATTTAATGATAGTTACATAATTATAATGTTAATGTTATTATAATGTTATTATCATCTTTGTTACCTTTCGAAATTTGTCAAAATCGAATACAAAAATAAGATAATCTATAAACTGATACCTGGTTATTGTTAAAGTCATTGAAATTGTTTTGAAAATATTTTCTTAAGCTGTTGCACCTCCGATTGCAAAGAAACCCTCGCCTCGTACAATACGTCCCTCGCCTCGTACGATACGGAGACAAAGGATCACGGCGCACCAAAGTGAACGTCCAGATACGGTTACTCCTAAAAACGTAGAGTTTTTTATATCTTTTTTATATCATAACTACTAATATAATTTGGTTTTGAATTCTTCATCCATGCGGCTGTGTATCCGTGAATAAGTACCCGTGAATAAGTACGATCAATTTAAATATCATTCATCTTTTAAATAAATTTCACCGTTTTTATTTAGTAGTACCGGTATAACTTGAATATTTACCCTTATTACTATTCATAAGATTGCCATAATTCAGAATATTGCATCACTGTTATATCCAAATCACTTTAATTGTAATTTTGTAGGTACACCTTCGGAACAAAAACGAAACAGAAAAACCAGGTAAAATTTCAAGTAGTTTGATATTATAATAAGCAAGCATTTTCTCTTCAAAATAGTATAGATAAATTCATTTATAACAGAAAACATTAAATATGAATCATTCAAAAGACTACACTAAGACAAAGTCAAATAAATTGATTAAAGTAAAATATTTAAATTCATTTTTAAGAACAAAAAAATAAACAACGAAAATGCATGAAAGTTTTTTTTCCAAACAAGAAACACGACCATGCCACGAAACCAAGTCTCAAGTTAGCCCCTGTTGTAGTTGGATTACAAACAAAAGCAACATAAAATTAAATATTTGCATTGTAAATGGTAAAAAAGAAAATCCCAGGAGAAATTTTAACATACGCTTGCCGTAACGCAAGTTTCTGTGAAAGAAATCGTTCTATACAACAGTTATTGACCGGAAATCGATTTTCTATTTTTAGTTGGTTTCATTAAATTTGACCTAAAAGCAATTCAAAACGATGTATTCACATATGCCTGCTAGGGTCAAAGTTTCATTTAATTATTTCACTACAAATATTTTATAATTGACCGAAAACAAGGTTGTCTATTGGTGACAGCGACCATGACCTTAACTTACATATACCCCGAAATCAATGTTTAATGATGTCTTCTCATATGCAAACGACAAACCAAGTGTCAGTGAAATATTTCATACATATCTCTAGTTATTGACCAAAAATCGATTTCCTAATTTGAGTAACAGTAACACAGTAAAACGTAATTAAAGTAAGTTCCAGGGATGGCAAATGCAACAACATCAGCTTAATATACACAAAGTTTCATTGATATCTCTGAGTTTGAACAGTAACCATTTTAAGTAACAGTGACCACGGCACTTAGGGTGGGGGACATGAGCAGTACAATGCGGAGATGTCTTATAAGGCTTTCACCACGCCAAGTTTCATTGAAATATTTTTCATTCATCATTTCATTTCACTGATATTCTATGGGACCTAAATGCAATCCCAATTCACATAAGCTAGCTATATACCAAGTTTAAGTAAGAAAGTCGATCTAAAGTTAAGTAGACCGGAAACCATATTGTTTGACATACGCCTGTCCACCCGTCTGCGGCCGACGGTCTAAAAACAATCTAATTACCACGATGTTCAATTTGCAGACCAGGTTTAATATTTCAGGATTTCGTATTGAAAATAATTCACCCCCTAATACTGCTAAACCAAAGTGCTATTAGTCTTCACCATAAATATAAAACCAAGTCAGGCTTCACAATCATGTGGTCTGACGAGTCTCTACTTCAATGTGAAATGTCCGGTGTTAAGTTACACTAAGACTGCATGGTCATATTGCGACTTTCCAGCTTTTCTGGTAGAGTTAGACTTTTGGTGTCTCCCCTTGCATTATTTAAGACACGCCCGGAATAGAAGTAGAATCACCCTCGTTCAATAATCTAGTTTTAAAGCTTCTTCACATGTATTGATTTACAGCAGTGAGAGGCAAGTGGTTTGAAGCCAATCAAGCTACTTAACACTTGAATAAACTGTTAAAATCCAAAGTTGTAAATCCTAAGCTATGCAAATATTTAAATATACATATTCAACTGGCTTAATGTTAAGAAACAAATGATGATTGTAATTTATAGGATCTCCAATTCTAAGTACAAAAAGAGAGAAGGCAGCACAATTTGGTCCTGTAATTCCTAAACAATCAGGTCAAGATATGATATCAGTACATCAACAACAGCCAGGTAAATTTAATAGGAACAAGAATACATATGTATGTATATATAAGTAAACGTTCCGGACTGATATTACCGAAATTGCTATATTTGTGGTATAAGATAAATGTTTTGATCTATTGTATTTAATTAAATGTCATTATGAACATTTTTACATAAAAGTTCCTGTATATTTTACACTTGATTTTCTTCTTTTGAACTGAAATTGATTTTTAACATTGCTTTGACTGATTTTTAAAATGTTTACTGTTCTAGCTGAACGGTATTGTAGGAAACGTTATCAGAACTATCTAAGTTGTTAGAAAAGGACTGCAACGACACGTATAACTTATGAAAGATTCAGATTATATTTAATTGTTTTTCTTTTGTGTTAAGAAAAATATATAGCTTTGTACGATTACAAACCAAGTTCGGATGATGAAATCGAACTCAAGGCAGGCCTTGTAGTGACGGTCTTGAAAAAATGTGATAAAGATTGGTTAATTGCTGAAGCAAGCGGGAGACGTGGATACATCCCTAGGAATTACATAAAGAAGGCTGGAGATAAAAATCAAGGTGGTGACTTTAAAAATGAACTGGAGATGGTATTTCATCGCCGTGCTGAGTTAAACAAGTCTATTGATAGAGAATAATAAGTAAATAATATTTAACTTACGGAAAGTGGTGTATATATTTCATCAATATCAAAACAAGACAAAATGTATATTCAAGAAACATGACAGATCATATGAAACGATTATTTTTTGTATTGTATCTTATTGTATATTCAGATCATTTTAGAACCATATTGTATTCTTGTATACAAGTAATTGAATGTTACATTACCAAGATTTATAAAACATATATTAAAGATTTGCACAAATAGGATAATGGATGTTCTGTTTTCACTACAAGAAAATATTGTGTAATAATTTCTACAATCTTAATTTTACAATTCAAACTTTTATATTATTAAGTACACCTGTGGAATATTTTTCTTGAATGACGCTCGTTCTTCGTAAGAAATTTCTCAATTTCAGTATTAATTATTAAAGTCTGAACCCGACCTCATTTAATAACAGATTTAGCTCGGACATTTTTCGATGCATTTAATACTGTTAAAGAAGACAGAGTTTAGTCCGATGTTACTAATAGTATTCTAAGTAATTTCAATTTGTTTATTTGAGTGTTTGCTACATCAATAAATTTCTTTATCAAGGTTTAAACTTGAATGTTTGCAAATGCTCGTTCTTGGAATAACACATGAAGACGTACCTCAGTACCTCAGCTCTTCCTCCACCTGAAGAAGCTGCAAAATCGATATGCGATCTTACAAGTGTGTGTGTGTGTGTGTGTGTTGGTGCGTGTGTGCGCGTGTGTGATGGTGCGTGTGTGTGTGTGAGCGCGCGCACGTGTGTTGGTGCGCGCGCGTGTGTTTGCGCGCGTGCGTTGGTGTGTGCGTGAAGTGAATCCAGATGAATATTTTCATACTATATACAATGTCTGAATACAATCGAATGAATAATACCTATTGGCTATCTATTAAAATGACACACAGGCGTAGAGTCCAACTGAGATCAAATGCCAGTAGAATGCGAGCACATGTGTTCTCATGCTAGTTTAAAAAGTAACGAAAATATTGTGCGTTTTTGTTGTTGTTTTTTTGGATGTTGAGATTCTGTACATAATAAGAAAACTGGTTGGTATCGCTCTGTTTTGCAATAACAAATAGACATAATTTTTAACATTCCAAAATATAATGTTTTATTTATGTTTCATATGTTATTTCATAGCATGTACATTGATGTCAAGTTGATATGTGCAGAACGAATGCACACATTTTATCATTTGTGCCAAGTAATTTTAAAATCCTTCCATGCATGACAAAGTTACAGTCCGGACATGAATGTGTATCTTCAAACTCTTCTCGAGAGAATGAGTTCCTTCAAACTATAAGTGTGACCTTGACCTTGAAGGTAGGGACATGGGTCTTTGTCGTGACATGTCGTTTTGATGTGGTAGACATTTATGCCTAGTTACTTAAAAATTCTTCGATGCATAACAAAGTTACAGCCCGGACACAATTGTGTGTACCTATTAATTCTAATTGTGATAATGTGAAACTTCAAAATGTTAGTGTGACCTTGACCTTTGATGTAGAGACGTTATTCTTGGACGCGACAAATCGTCTTGATGTGGTAGACATTTGTGCCAAGTTTTTTTTAAAAAATCCCTCAAGTTACAGTCCGGACACGAATGAAGTGGAGACGGACAGACGGTGCAATTATATTATGCATCCCTTCGGGGGCATAAAAATAGTCAAATTAATATCATACAATGCAGGAAATTTTAACACAAATGACTTTAAGTCGTAAATACGTTACAGATGATGTCACATGTATTTTATTCAAACAACCCGCCACCTGCAGACATATTTTATATTGGATCGCATTTCATGCTAGGTTAACAGGTTTATTTACTGTTAATGGTTGTTATATGTAGGGGAAATATATTTCTATATTTCAATAGTCTGTAAATTACATTGAAGAAAAAACTTCATATAGAAGTAGAATTAAGTTTAAAAAAATAAGCAAAAGGCAAATTACAATACATATATTATTAATTACTGTCATCCAAAGGGTAGGCAAACTAGAAAGAAGTTCGAAGTTGAAATCAAGGACTAACCAATGAAACCTATCATGCTATCTGGTAGCTACTTATCGGAATCGGGTTTGCTTACGATTTTTGGTGCCTTGTATGTAAGGAAGCGAAAATGGAAAAAAATATCTTGTACATAATTTGTCAGTTCCTTGTGAAAGTGAAGGCAGTTAGTACTAGTAAACAGCTTGACAGCCTGATCAACTGATCTGTGCTCTCGTCCAGGTGGCTTACTACAGTGATCCGGAGGGTCAACTTCCACCACCAACACCAAATATCATGGGTTCTGATGAACAGTAGCTTAAAGCCTTTCAATAAAACAACCAATAGTCAACTAAGTTTAAACAAGGTTTCATTCATTTATTTCCATTCTATATCAGACATAAATATATACAAAGAAAACCTGAGATGAGTATAAAAACATCACAATATACATATTAGAGTACAGCCATCAAAACAACTACTTATTGTACAAGAATAGACTGATCACATTCTACCATTGACGGTTTTATAAGTATTAAAACTTTTAAATGAAAATGAGGGAATACTGTATATGGGACCAGAATTATGTCCCTTTTCATATCTTAAATTGATGAGGTTAAGGAACAACTATAGAAAATATTGAGTAATATCTTTAACAATAAATATCTTAATTAGAATTTAAAATTTGACATGAAATTTTTATATTCTTGGAATAAAGTTTTTGAAGAATTGTTATAAGGAATGTTAACTATAACAATATATTTACTATCAAAAGTTTCAAGAAAATCCCTACAATAACAAAGAAACAATAAAATTTACAGTCAAAGGGGAGATAATTCTTGAGATATAGGTGCTGGGGTTATGGACCTATATACATGTATGTGAGTGATGATAACATAAGCTATCGCCAGTCTTAAGTGAAAACATTAACAAAGAAGATAATTCTAAAAGCAAAATTCGAAGTCAAAGAGGGATAATTCTTGAAATATAAGATTCTAGAGTCATGTTCCTTGTCAACCATGTAAGGAACAATAATCTTATATATGAAGTAAATTTTGTAACAACCAGATTTAATGTATCGTAAAATTAAACAACAATATTATTTTTCAGCATCGAAAAGGTCAAAATATAAAGAAATATTACATGTATTATTCTTGAATATATATTCTATTTGCATGTTAGAATGAAAATAAACAAAGTCCTAAACCTGTTTACTACCCTAAATATTACTCCATAGTGCCAATATTTTGAGTATCTAATACTATTGTGCAGGATCTGTTATGATTAGATTACTACAAATTGCTATAGAGTTAGGCCTTGTAAATCAGTAATTATCAAATTCTGAGTGATGCCAAAAGAAATATTCACATAATAGGAAAGTATAAAACAAGCATATAACAGACTGGTTGCAAGAAATACTATACAGAGCATACTGTAAAGAGCAGCCAGTCTGTGAACCTCAGCTACTATTACCGTCTTTTCCTTCAGTGGCTGCTGTTCACAGGTTTGACTGTAGTATGACAATTCACATAATAATATTATCAAAGTCGTGATAAATCATCATAATCATTGAGAGACAAAAATAAAGAAAATAAAACATAAGTGGAATGAATCTCAAAATGGCACTTAAAATTAGTAGTATTTACTTTAATCACTTGCATCCACTAAATTAATGTTAATCAACATGACAAATGAATAAGTCACTTTTTGAAAGATTATACTTGAGACAAGAACAAAACACTACATGCCTAATTCACCTAATATTGCTGGCTTATAAAACCAAATGTTGCATACTAACTTAACCAAATGTTTCAAACATACTTAATTAAATCTTGCTTAACTACCTAGCCAAATGCTGCATGCTTACTTAACCAAATAGTGCAAACTTACTTAACCAAAAATCACATGCATACCTAGTCAAATATTGAAGGCTTAACCAAATATTGCATGCTTATTTATTCAAATATCCCAAACACACTTAACCAAATATTGTAAGCTAACTTAACCAAATAATTCATGCTTACTTATCCAAATGCTGCATTACTGCCTTAACCAAATGTTGCATATATGCTGAACCCTTTAGTATAAGTAATGTGGACCTGCCTATGCCACGACATCAGCTTGCACATCCATGCACTCTGACAAGATATGACTATTGAATACTTAGTATCTTTTTTAGAAAATTGTACTTAACGCAGCATGCCTCCAGATTCATGCTAATTTTCATGAAAATTTGGCAAATGTATTCAATAGTGAAATATTCTAAAGTGAATACAGAATGTAATTTACACATTGCAAACAGCACTTACAATTCACACAATAAATTACCTAAAACGGGTTTTGTTTGTTTGTTTGATTGGGTTTTATGTTACACCGACACAGCATCGACACAGTATAGGTCATATGGCGATGTTCCAGCTTTACTGGTAGAGGAAGACCTCAGGTGCCCTTCTGTGCATTATTTCAGGCACAAATGTGCACCTGAGTAGAACCAACACAATCCGTAAGCTAGCTCTCACATGAAAGAATCCAAGTCCCTGTCAGGATTCGAACCCACAGCAGTGAGGGGCATATGGATTGAAGTCAACGACCTTAACCACTCATCCACGGACGCCCCCCAAAAAGGGGTAAATATATGCAATAATAGCCTGTAGTCATGCAGTAGAAATATGGTGATAAATACTGCAAAATCAGTCATAAATCACACATAACATGTAAATTATTACTTGAATCTTATAATATATTTTTTTACTTTTCTTAAACTCTAAGTCTATCTTTCTCAAGTTTGAATTTCTTGAATGATTTTGACTCAGCTGGTGGCATGCAGCTTTAAAACTACTAATATCAGTAATCAGCAGTTAAAATAATCCAAAGCATGCCCAACATACAAATTAAGCATGATAATGGTTTAAGAAATACAAAAAACAAACTCAAAACATTTAGAAAACTACATTGACATCTATATATAAACAACAAAAACAATGACTGAAAATAACAATTCAAAACAAAGCTGCCTAAGTGAATAAAGAAAACAACATGTCTAAAGAAACAAATCATGTATATGAATAAAAAGCATGTTAATGTATAAATTTTATGTCTTGGTTTTTGTATAAAATGTATACCAACAAAAATATTTATTTAACTTAATTTCATTCATTCAACAGTCGTCAAATTTCCTTCAATTCTAAGTGATTTATGAATAAGGAGTTATAAATGTCAAGGTTAAAGAAGCACATTTCCAGATTCAACGAAAATTAAAAAATAGTCTCATTTATAACAAAAGTGCTACGTTGTCACAAAATATGCCAGACACAAATGTTCAGTCTCATAACTGTGAACATTTATAAATTAAATCCCACAATTCACAATGACTAAATAATCATCACAAACATTTTTACGTTCTATCTGACCATTTGACCTCTACATGTAACCTTGACATTGGCCAAAGGGACCACAATTTTGTGTACAACACTGTACCTCACTTTGTTGAACATTCATGCTAATATCACAAGTTTTCTTGTTGGGTTTTATTTTAATGTTTTTTTGTTTTGTTGTTGGGTTTTGCGTTCTACGAACAAGGTAGAGGTCTTAGTAGAGGGCAACTACTGGCTAGGGATTACCTCAGACACACCTCTGTGCATTATTTCAGGCACAGACTGGCACCCGAGTAGAACCACAGACTTTCCATAAGCTAGGATAGCTTCCTGACATGAAAGAATCTGAAGTGACTGGCAGGATGTGAACCTACAGTGGTGAGGGGCGAGTAGTTTGAAGTCAGTGACCTTAACCACTTGGCTACACATGCCCGACAATATATATCATCATGTGCACAAAAAAAGAAGAGTTAAACATAGCAAAAGGCACTTAATACTTACAGAAATAAAATGAACATATTGTTAAAAAATGCAGATAAAGTCCTTACTAGAGATGTCACATTTATCCTTTTAAACAGGTTTGGTTGGTTTTGATTAGAAAATTCAGTTACTGGAATCCCAGGTTAGTATATTAGACCAATAGCAAAGAAGTTTAAGAATGAGTTTATATCACCTTTCTTTAACTATGACAAGATGTGACTTTTTGTTTGTAAATGAAGTGCATACCTGTTGTTTTCTTTCTCAATCGCATGCTATCTTATTGTGTACAGTACGGCCGTAGCAGAAAAAAAACACTTTAATTAGATGAGTACAACATAATACAAACTAAATGTCATATCTTATCATAAAAAAACAAAGTTAATGTTCACAATCTAAGAGTTCTTTTTGTACGGGCAGTTAAACATTTAACTCAGTTATCATGTTGCCATTTAAATGGTTAACATATTTGCTAACCTTGACACCCCTAGTCTTTACTATATTACAAAGCACAGGGTACAAAAAATATGTATAAATATAGTAAATTCTCTCATACTGTGCACAAAAAACAAGCAGTCCCTAACTTCCAAATGTATATTTCTAAAACTATCAAAATTAAAAATGTAAGTTTTTTGGGTTTTTTTGAAAATGTGTTCACTATCTAGACATGTGCAACTTAAATGTTCACTTTTTTTAACAGATTATGTATAACAAAATAGACTTCAAATAAAAATGTTAAGATTGCTAGTTTAACATAAATGTCTACAATATTTAGATGATGCAATATAACAATCAAGTTCCAATCACAAAAGATTCTGTTGGTTGCAAACATTTTGTTTTAATACACTTCCACAACCATGAGTCTCTTATACACACACCTTCACACTTTTCTCCAGGACCCTGGAAAATATTAAACAACTTTATTAAATTAATAAAGATCACAAGATCTGTAAATAAAAACACACAGATATCCCAATTCAAATAAAAATAACCATAAGATATAAGAAATAAATAAAGTATAAGTATATTTTTTGGAAAATTTGAGCTCTAGCTATAAGTTTAAGGTTCAAGGACATACAGGGGTCAAGGTCATAACTCAGTTTGTCTAAAATACTGTTCTAGCAAATTCAAGCTATTTGGGTCTTACATTTTTTTTTTTCAAAAAAAAATAACCCATTCAATTATCTGGAATGCCAACATGATAATTTCTTACCCCTTTCTTAGACTAATAAAGTCTAGAAATGAGTAATTGACCCAATATACCTTTTACTGGCCTACTTAAGTTTGCAATTAATATCATGATAAGTTTCTGCATTAACATTGCTTAATTTGTCTGACTGTCTTGATTGGTTTGGCTTGTTTGTTTCAACTCCAATTTAAGAACATTTTCGATCACATCTCAATGGTCAATTGACCTAACCAGTTTTCCTGGATAACAAACTAGTTATGAGCTATTGTTCTTATCCAGCATGATTTCTAAATCAGCTGTGAGAGACAAATTTGCATTAGTCACCAAGAATTGTTGCCTTTCCTGAGGATTGGACCTGTTAACCATGAATTACAAATCCTATGCTCTCCCTATTGAGCTAAGTGTGCGGACAAGATTGTCTTGTATAGTAGAATGAAAATTACAAATATATATAACACAGTTATTACAAAACTTACGGAATAATCACTTGGCACCACAGAATGTGTGGCAGTTGTTTTGCTGAACTCTGGAACAACTTCTCCATCAAATCTATACAACTGTTAAAGATAAACTTTTTAATTCAATGAACTGTAATCACTCTAATTGGCCGGGTTGCACTGGTTCCAACCCGGGTTATAGTATGGTGAATGTCGGAACTGCTTATCACAGCCTAATGATATTTGGCATACAGCATTGATACATGGTCCCATACCGTGGGATTCAATTTCAGGTCTGTTGCTTATCCACTTCCTGTTTACAGACTTAGTTAAATTTTCAACATTAATGGTCAATAGTAGGAAATTTTCGTAACAGTTTTTTCAGCAACTACTTATCACAGCCTCTTGATATTTGGCATACAGCATTGATACATGGCCCCATACCGTGGGATTCAATTTCAGGTCTGTTGCTTATCCACTTCCTGTTTTCCGACTTAGTTAAATTTTCGACATTGATGATCAGTGGCAAATTTTTTTCTAAACATCACAGCATCATGATATTTGGTATACAAATGCAACCCGGCCTTTTCTGTCTTTGACCCATTTTTTTTATATTTTATAATGAAACAAGAACTGTCGGAGGACAGTAACGCTCGACTATTCGAAAATTTGTCACAAGGGTGTTTCATTGAGTATAATAATGCTTACCTATATGAATACATAAAATTGTCCGAAAAAGGTACAAACTCTTCAAGTTTCAATACATTCCCTTCAGTAGTTATGGAGAGACAAGCTTACATGCAAAAACTTAACCAAGAATTCATGAGTCGAAAAAGGGGCATAATTATGCAAAAAAGCAAATCAGAGTTATGGGACTTGTACCAATCACCTAAGATAATCACAGAGACCAAGTGTGTGAAGTTTCAATCCATCCCCTTCAGTAGTTATGGAGATACCAGCTTACACGCAAAAACTTAACCAAGAATTTCTAAGTCGAAAAAGGGGCATAATTATGTTAAAAAGCAAATCAGAGTTATGGGACTTGTGCCAATCATCTTAGATAATCACAGAGAACAAGTGTGTGAAGTTTCAATCCATTCCCTTCAGTAGTTATGGAGATACCAGCTTACATGCAAAAACTTAACCAAGAATTTCTAAGTCGAAAAAGGGGCATAATTATGTAAAAAAGCAAATCAGAGTTATGGGACTTGTGCCAATCATCTTAGATAATCACAGAGAACAAGTGTGTGAAGTTTCAATCCATTCCCTTCAGTAGTTATGGAGATACCAGCTTACATACAAAAACTTAACCAAGAATTTCTAAGTCGAAAAAGGGGCATAATTATAAAAAAAAGCAAATCAGAGTTATGGGACTTGTGCCAATCATCTTAGATAATCACAGAGAACAAGTGTGTGAAGTTTCAATCCATTCCCTTCAGTAGTTATGGAGATACCAGCTTACATACAAAAACTTAACCAAGAATTTTTAAGTCGAAAAAGGGGCATAATTATGTAAAAAAGCAAATCAGAGTTATGGGACTTGTGCCAATCATCTTAGATAATCACAGAGAACAAGTGTGTGAAGTTTCAATCCATTCCCTTCAGTAGTTATGGAGATACCAGCTTACATACAAAAACTTAACCACAGGGACGCCGACGCCGACGCCGACGCCGACGCCGACGCCGACAAATGGGTGACTGCATTAGCTCGATTATTCTGCGAATAGTCGAGCTAAAAATAACCAATAATCCACATGACTAACGGAAATTTCTATAAATATTGTTTAAAATGGTAATGCTTAATTCTTTGAAAAGTGTGAAGCATTTTTTTTTTATAATTTAGGTAGTTATTCTATATTGTATCATAAACAATTTTCCTTATTAATTATTGGCGAATCATGATAATACTTACCAATGTTTTGAAATATAACACTTATTCAACTCAATTTCATAGCAAAAAAAATAAGCATAATGTCACTTTAAGGGAACCCAAATGAAGTCATTACCCACTTTATAATACATCACAAGAAACAAATGTATAACCATAAGACAGCATATTCAATTTGTTTGTTTGATTTGGCTTTATGCCACAGCAACACTATCAGTATAGGTCATTCAAGCTTTACTGGTAGAGGAAGACCTCAGGTGCCCTTCCATGCATTATTTCAGGAATGAACAGGCACCTGAGTAGTACCATCGATCTGGATTATAATAGCATTCTCACATGAAAGAATGCAAAGTCCCTGTTGGGATTTGAACCCACAACATATTTAGAGCCAATGTGCAAAATATTACAATTTATACTACTTGTATCAATTTAAAAATTCCTAAAAATTCTGGATTAACTACATTGTAGTCGGTCAACAGAGACCTTATACTTTATAGATTACATAATTCTAATGAATACATTGAAATCAAAGTGACTTGCTTAGGGGAGCTGAGCGGTGGCCTAGTGGTTAAGGTGTCTGCCTCTCAACCCAGTGATCATGGGTTCAAGCCCTACTCGGGTCACAACAATGTTTCTTCATATGACACCAGTACTGGTTGGTTCCAGGAAGCAGACTCGAAAGTGATAAATATAAATGCAAGAACTTGTTTCGCAATCAAGCTTAATTAAATATGTTTAAACCAAAGTGACTTATTTACAAACAAAAGGATACGCTATCACATATCTTCTAAGTTTCTTGAAATCCCTCAAATCACTTGGAATAAAAATCTTAGCTCCTGTAAAGATGTTGGGAAGTGCCTGTAAAAAAAAAGTACATAAAGTGTGTAACCTATTATCATACAAAAATACATAAAATGCATCGTAAAAATACATAAATACACTGGCATTACATCAAATTAATTTCTTCAAATACATAAGCAGTCAAAAACTTGCAAAACAAAACTAAGAAGAATTAGAAACACAGCAACATTTGCATTATAACTCGTAGGACAACTATACAAAACAAATATTATCAAGGAAAGCACTTATGCCTCTTTCCATCACTTTTGGTGTTTTGTTATTTTAAAAGGAATCAACATGTTTGACATAGTTATGAATAAAACCTTCCAATTAAGCATGCAAAAACGCACCGCATGTAAAACGTATATAAAATTCATGTTTTTCTTATGGAAAACATATAGTGTGCTAAAACATACATGTATGTTAAACATGTGGTTCATTTGTACCTGTGCAGATATTTAATAAAGGTTTATACATACCCCGTTAGATGTTTGCTGTACTTTTGGTGGATGGTAGAAATTAGTTAGGTGGTCTGGATTCTTCTGGTAACAATCTGCACCATATTTACATTCAGGTTTAGACTAAAACAATCAAAGACTTGGCATAAGAAGTATGTAGGCTAAATAAATCCTAGACATGACATAAAAATTATTAAGGCTTGTTTGGGCTAAATTTATCATAGGTAAGGCTCGAGACAGAGTGTTTGGACTAAATTAATCCTAGACAAAGCTTAGAGGTTGTTTGAACTGAAAACAATGTAAAACAATGTAAGACATGGCTCGAAAGTTTTTTTTTATCTTTCAATGATACTTAAAGCTAACTATAAAGCACTGTCGAAAAAATTTATTTAGAAAATTGAGTGATTTAAGCTTTGAGCATGTAAAATGCCTCGAGAAAACAAGAGTGATTGCTAAAGGTTACATTCAATTGAAAATTTATGAGACAAAAAAATTACGAGACTTTTATCAGTACCAATCCTTTTCATTTTTTTATTTTTGTTGTTGTTGGGTTGTAAGTCACAACAACACTGCACCCATCCACATTACAGGTGACTAAAGCCATCCAGTGGCCCACTCACATTTATTTTAGTCTTAGACGAGCATTGGTGGAGAATATATACTTTTGTAAGATAATATACACATAAAGAATTCAAAGCTCTCTGTGGGATTCAATACAATAGCTGTGAGAGACAAGTTTTAATTTTTAAGACCTTATAAATCAGTAGAATTCTTTTTATTTTAGACTATAACAATTAAAACCGGATTTCTGAAAACCTGCCTTTCCCTTCATTAAAGTATTGACAGCAGGTGAAAAAAATGGAAAATTCTACTTTGAATTCTATCTATATGACCATCACTTACTTTCTTAGCTGGACTTGATTCATTTCCATTCTCATTGGTCCGCTTGATTGCTTTGGATGGAGAATTTTGTTCCTTTTTTGGCGAAAAGTATTTGGCTATTCCAACAGTCCCACCAGGTGTTGAAGACTTCCCAGGTGTAGATGACACTGATGTACTTTTGGATTTCACAGGAGTTGCATTGCTGTTTGCTGGATGAAATTTTAAAATATATTAATAAAATTCTGTATTATTTGGGTAGGATTATAGGATATATTCAACAATATTTAAGCTATATTGGAAGGAAACAGCCAGTGTAATTGGTTGTCAGTCACTCAGCTAAAAGAAACCTCCCATTTTTATTCTATATTGACATAACATTACAATATTAAAATGGTAGTTTGTTTGTTTGTTTCATTTTACGCCTTTTCCCAACAGTATTTCAGTCATATAGGCGGGTAGTTTCCTAACCATCGTTCCTGGAGAGTTACACCAGTACTAGACAACCTTCCTCCGCGCTAAACTACCAAAGCATCTCCCGGGGATCAAACCCACGCCAGAGAGGTAACTTGATTAGAAGTCATCGACTCTAACCCCTCGACCACGGAGGCGGTCATTAAAATGGTAGAATCATTAAAATACTTCACAATCATAGTTCACAAAATTAAACCTTTGTCTACTGACAACAAATCATTTTAATACTTCACATGGAATGAATCATTACCACATTTTCTATAGACAATACATTATCATTACTTTCTATTGACAAATCATTACAAAATTTTACATGGATAAATCATTTAATACTTCACAAAGATATATCTTTACCACATTTTCTATTGATAATTCATTACCTTACTTTCTACTGATAAACTATTTACTAATTTTACAAGGACAAATCATTTAAAACCTCACATGGATAAATCAATGCCACATTTTCTATTAACAAATCATTACCACAGTTTTTATTGTCAAATCATTACCAAATTTTCTATTGAAAAATCATTACCACATTAAGTTTTTTATTGACAAATCATTACCACATTTTCTACTGACAAATCATTACCACTTTTTGCTATTGATAACCATTACCACATTTTCTATTGATAAAAAATTACCACATTTTCCATTGACAAATTAACACCACATTGTCTATTGACAAATCATTATCACCACATTTTCTATTGACAAATCATTATCACCACATTTTCTATTGACAAATCACTACCACATTTTCTTTAGACAAATTATTCACATGCATACATTTTAACACAGTTAACCACAAACACAAGGACAAGAAGCTTCAGAGACTCAAACATTTGTATCAACATCTTACCATCACTATCATCATTCACATCTGTATCACTGCCACTTGAAGATTTGCCTTTCTTAGCAGGAGATTTGCCGGGCCCTTTACCCTTCTTTGTTCCTGGGATAACAATGTCTGATGTGTCTTTTGACTTCTTGAACAAATCCTAAAATACAAAGGTAAGAACACTGATAAATTGACTACTACAAATTATAACATATACATTTATGTTAACAATTCATGGGCATATGAATTAATAATGGAGAACAAGATTTCCTTCATATGAATGACAATGCCATGCCCTCTCAGGGCGCCTTGACCTTGGTAAACTTGACCTTTGCCCCTGTAGCCAGTTGTTATGGCAGGTAGATTGTTCATCACAGAACATGCACTAGTCAAGTCAGAATGTTGTTGGTGGAATAATTTCTGTGTATTCTACATTGTCTCAAGGTGGTAAAAATATTTCCCTTTCTAAAGAAAAAAATCAAGCTATGAAGCTGACACAATTTGAGACATCCAAACTAAACAGGACATTTGAAATAAAAGTTAGCCTCTATGTGTAAGGTGACATAAATATATTTACAAATTGTATATATAAGACTAACTAGAACTATCACTAAATGTGATTAATACCCCCACAAGACTGCTTTGGAAATGAGGATGTTACTAGTAACAGAATACCTTGTAAAAGAATTGAAATATAGAGTTATGGTTGTGGGCAATTAAAGATAGTTGTGGTTCTTATATGTTGCAGTTCCTTTCAATGTGGTTGGCCATTGATGAAGTTTAATTGAATTACTCTGTAATAAGTCAAGAAAGACAAAGAAAAGGAACAAAGGGCAATAACTCTATAAATACTGAAGATAGAGTTATAGTTCTTGTGCACTACTCTTCCTCTTATTGTGCTTGACCATTGTATGAAGTTGTTTTGAATTCCAACCAGTACGTTTTAAGTTATGCTCCTGACAAGGAAAAGTATCGAAGGGCAGTAACTCTGTATTTTGTCAAAATGGAGTTATGGCTCTTGTGCACTGCTTTCCTTTTAATGTCCTTGACAACTGTATAAAGTTGTATTGAATTCCAAACAGTAGTTTTCAAGTTATGCTCTGGACAAGGAAAAGTAACAAAGGGCAATAACTCTGTAATTAGTCAAGATGGAGTTATGGTTCTTGTGCACTGCACTTTCTCTCAATGTGCTTGACCATTGTATGAAGTTATATTGAATTCCAACCATTAGTCTTCAAGTTATGGTCCGGACAAAAAAGGCAATGGAAAAGTAACAAAGGGCAATAACTCTGTAATTACTTTAGATAGAGTTATGGTTCTTGTGCACTGCACTTCCCCTTATTGTGTTTGACAATTGTATGAAGTTGTTTTGAATTCCAACCAGTAGTTTTCAAGTTATGCCCCGGACAAGGAAAAGTAACAAAGGGCAATAACTCTGTAATTAGTCAAGATAGAGTTTTGGTTCTTATGCACTGCACTTCCGTTCAATGTGCTTGACCATTGTATGTAGTTATATTGAATTCAAACTATTAGTCTTCAAGTTATGGTCCGGACAAAAAAAAGCAATGGAAAAGCAAAAAAGGGCAATAACTCTGTAATTACTTTAGTTAGAGTTATGGTTCATGTGCACTGCACTTCCCCTTGTTGTGTTTGACAATTGTATGAAGTTGTTTTGAATTCCAACCAGTAGTTTTCAAGTTATGCCCCGGACAAGGAAAAGTAACAAAGGGCAATAACTCTGTAATTAGTCAAGATAGAGTTATGGTTTTTATGCACTGCACTTCCTCTCAATGTGATTGACCATTGTATGTAGTTATATTGAATTCAAACTATTAGTCTTCAAGTTATGGTCCGGACAAAAAAAAGCAATGGAACAGCAACAAATGGCAATAACTCTGTAATTACTTTAGATAGAGTTATGGTACTTGTGCACTGCACTTCTTTTTATTGTGTTTGACAATTGTATGAAGTTGTTTTGAATTCCAACCAGTAGTTTTCAAGTTAAACCCCGGACAAGGAAAAGTAACAAAGGGCAATAACTCTGTAATTAGTCAAGATAGAGTTATGGTTCTTGTGCACTGCACTTCCTCTCAATGTGCTTGACCATTGTATGTAGTTATATTGAATTCCAACCATTAGTCTTCAAGTTATGCTCCGGACAAGGAAAATGCAACGGACGTCGGACCGACCGACCGGCCGTCGACCGACCAACCGACCGACCGACCACCAGGTGACTCCTATATACCCCCCCAAACTTCGTTTTTGGGGATATAATGAGAAAATCTAATACTGTATCATATTCAATTATCATCATACCTTAAGTCTTGGTAAATCAGTGGCTTCCTTCCATGATTTATCATCTCTAACCTTCGTTACACGTGGAAATCTTATAGATATACCATCTGCTGTATGAACCTGATCAATATATAATAATTTACATGTTACATGAGGAAATCTTATATCATCTGTTTTATGAACCTGGTTAATATAAATAATTCATATATGGTTTACAGGAAAATGTAATAGATATACTATATGCTGTATGAACTTAGTCAGTATAGAAAAAATTTATGTATCAGGCACAAGGAAAACTTGGATATATCAGGAACTTGTTGATTTTGTAACTGAAATATCAAAATTCTGGTCTCATATAGCACTTCTATGATTAGTTATTTTTCACGCTTGAGTGATATTTGCAATACATGTAAGTACATGTCAATGCTATAAGAATTGAATAAGTGCTGTTTGCAAATCCTTGCAGACTTTTACTGGTGGCCACTCAATTGTATCAATTTATTACTGAAATGCCTAAAATTTATAATGGACACATCTATATAAGTTTGTTTGTTTGGGTTTTAGGTCACACCGACACAGTATAGGTCATTTGGTGACGTTCCAGTTTTACTGGTGGAGGAAAACCTCAGGTGCCCTTCCGTGCATTATTTCAGGCACGAATGGGCACCTGAGTAGAACCAGCAACGTTTCGTAAACTAGCTGGATAGCTTCCTCACATGAAAGAATCCAAAGTCCCTGTCGGGATTTAAACCCACAGGGGTGAGGGGCAAGTGGTTTGAAGTCAACGACCTTAACCACTCGGCCACAGACACCCAATCTATATAAGTAGCAAGACTATTCTATTATAGAAAGTCAGCAGGGAAAATGTTTAGACAAAGACTCACAACAGAAATTTGATAAACATTTATTAATAAACTATCATACCTCTGCTTTACTAAATTCCGCTCCTGAAATCTCCCAGACAGGTGCACTTTTTGGGTCAGCCGACACAAAATCTGGTATCATATTCTTCTTCACATTAAGCCAATCTGGGACCTTGCTAGAATTCTTGCTGATTTTCACCATCTTGAGCTCTTTTTGTAGTTTTTCTAAAGTGGCATCATCAAACCCATTCCCTACTTTGGTCACTGTACACCATTGGTCAGTGTTTGGGTCATGTGACCCCATTAGAAATACAGACATCATCCCACCTTTACAAATAGGAATAACACATGTAAAAGATACAGCACCAATTGCTTTCTTTAAAATTAAATTTTAGGGTCTGATAAATGTAGCTACAGTTTCTGCCAGAGATCGAAATTCCACTTGTCAACTCGTAATGAAGAGTAGAATTTAAGAGAACTCTATGCAGGATGAGAAGAAAAATGTTGCGTGCACATTGGATTTAGAAGCTACTCGTCCTGCAGGACAGTTGACTCTTAAAATATTTTTCAATGCCTGTCTGCAGAAGGCTGCACTTACTTAGAATAATCTAATTTTAATATTGAAATCCCTAAAATTTTGCATAGACTATTCCAAAATCAAAGCTGGGAAATTCCAGTTGATTAAGGGTTAATTCATATGCTCTTTATCCATCTATTCTAAAACAATGAAGAAACCTGAAGATATAACATCTAATGCTACAACTACAATGATATCACAAATGTTACCTTTATTGCCAGTTCCATAAAACGCTCCAAGAACAACTAAATCTGCTGAGTCAGCCATCTGTCCTTCATTTAAATAATCCTTCTTTATCTTCAACCAATGACGCTTTCCAGGTTCATAAATACTCTGTTTAAATGATATATAAGAAATTCAGCCTCAAGTTCTTTAAGTTTGCTGTATTAAAGCAAATTAAACAATATACAGAAATGTCCCTGAAACACAAATGTACCAGTCCCAAATTTGTTTACAAATAATGAAGTGAAATCACCTGACCTGTGAAAATTTCATAATGAACCTCTAAGGTCATCTAGGGTTCAAGGTCATAGTTCACAATATAAAAATATATTTCTAGTCCAAAGATATTATCATTATCATCAAAATATGAAGGTTTATTTGAAAGCGTGAAGCCAGTCTACAATTACAGTTGTCACACAGAGACACACAGACAGACAAACAAACCAAAATTTAAGCTGGCATAAAAATGCAAAAACTACTTCATAATAATCATTGTACTCACGTTAACATCTTTAAGTACAAGACCTTCCAGACCTTCCTGAAACACCCGTGTCATCATATCCGTGAGATCATCTTCCTCCTATAACAACAATAAATTAAAGAAAATTGGTCTACAATAGAATATTTTCCTTAAAGAAGGATGCCTTCAGATCAATGCTTATTTTCATGAACATTTTGAAAATGTATTTAAAAGTTAAATCTTGTGAAGTGATGTATTAATTTACACAATGCAAACAGCACTAAATTACCAAAATAGGTCAAAATATGCAAAAATAGCCCTTAATGTGTTAGTCAAGCAGTAGAAATATGGTGATAAATACTGCAAATCAGTCATTAACTTCAGATGATAAATCAATCATTACTTGAACTTTTTTAATTTCTTAAAACTTAGTACATTCTTCTCAAGTTTTTTCTTGATGCACCACTTTCGTTAAAGTTCATTTCTTGGAACCAAATGAGTAGATTTATGCATACAATATTGGTTAACTTACTGTAATATGTTTCATTTCGGAGAACAAAATTCTGTTTGGTATTTCAATCATCTCCTTCTGAAGAATTTTTCTCCTTTCTTTAATTGGTCTGAAAATCAAAATGTTCCAGAAATGATTTCTCCTTACATTTATATATACATATACTTGCTTTAAGGGTATAATTTTGCCTTCTACATCATTAAAAGTCATAGCAAAGCTTAAAGTTTGGAAGAATACTTTTTTGGATAAAGCATGTGACACATGCCTGAAGCAGTTGCTAATAGTAAACCTACTAAAAGAACAGGTTAACTTTTTGTTTAATTCTGTTTTCTAATATAAATCAAGTGCATTAACCCTTACTGGCCTAAATATCTTAAATGGACATATTTATCTTTCAAAATGGACGAAACCATTTATCATTTATAGGGACAATTTCAAAATAAGTACTGACCGAGTAGCAAACAGTGCAGACCATGATCAGACAGTGATCTTGGACTGTACTGGTTACATGGGTAGAATAAGTTTATGCCTACAGGCTAAAGGTTATACTAGTACATGAAAGATTTCTTTATTAAAACTTTGACCAGATATGACCTTAAGTATATGAAAACGACTGTAAATTTGTTCTTGAATCTTTTATAGTAAACTTTGTTTGTAAAAACTTTACAACACTTTAGGTAAATTCTTTATAACAAGCCACATACAGCTTGCTATATGACCAAGTTTCAACTGACTATGGAAATCAGTGCTATTTCAAATAAAGTCCTAAAATAAAGTCATGTGAAAATTTACCTGTCCATAATATTTTCTCCATTCAGATGAAGGCAGTCAAATATGAATAAACAAACATTGGCTTCTTTAAACTGTTCTTTCTACAAGGAAAAAATCATAAATGCACCAGTTTTCTGGATAATCAGATTTATATATACACTAAACAAATATTATATGATTGAAGCATAGTTACTCTAAATGCAAGATCAGACAAGAGTAAAATCACACTTTTTTAAAACAATACGTTCTTATCATAATATAAATTATTTATATGAAAATAATTTCCTTTATTTAGCTTGAGAAATAAATTGTTTCCTTCCGTTACATTGTAACGTTTCGCTTATTTTATAAGTCAGGTTCCCGTTATAGTTAGCGCATAGGATAGGTATAATTTCATTAGATGGGTTAACGCGATGCACGAAAATCCCGTGCAACATTCCCAGTACAACATTCTCAGTTAGCTAGCTATAGTCGACACGACAACAACGTTGAGAGATTTAAAATTGACAGCTAAAATAGATTTAAGATATCAGCAATGCCACGAGGTAGAGGCGTAAGGAGAGCTATGGGTCGTAGAGGAGCGGCGAGTCAGGGCAGAGTTGTGAATCAGGAGCGGCCTACAAATGATAGACCTGTTACAAGGGGGCGCAAACGAAATGCAGATGAAGCGAATGGCGCAGAAGCGGAACACGTGGAAGCACGTGGCTTGAGCAGACCAGAGTCGGAAGACGTCGGAATGGACAGCAGATTCTTGCAAGATAATGCTGACAGCTGGGTGGTCGGTGACTCAATACCTTATTGGGCAGGAGTACGAGCCGTGACAACAGCAAAGCCCAACCTAAGAATACAGGGCAAGACTATAGCATGGTGGGGTGTAAGAGGTCTAAAATGGGCAGATTTTAGGCATTCAATACAACACAAGTCCTACTTTCATCACCACCTTCGATCATCATCATACATTTAGGTGGTAATGATTTAACATCTATTTCTCTAATCAAACTAAAAAAGGTTATTGAATCAGACATTACTTACCTCCGTGATGCTTTTCCACAGACGACACTTATTTGGGTTGACATATTACCAAGGAGGGTCTGGAGAGGGGCTCTTACTTTGAAACCAATTGAATCAAAGCGGAAAAGGGTTAATCGTCAGGGCAGACAAATTGTTAAACTGTCGGGGAAAAGTGATACTATCTCCCCTGACATTGACACGGAAACAAATTTTTTCCGTGATGACGGGGTACATTTAAATGCCGTTGGCTTGGAATTTTACCTTTTCCATTTAAAGGAATCAATTATTAAAAACATGTAATACTCGCTATAATTTGGGGGATAAATTAAAATTTATTGTGGCGTAAAATTATATCGATTGAGGGATGATCAGGCGTACAGTTCTTTAAATAGCAGTTGTTGAGGTTATTTTGGCACATTAATTAGTACCTCTTTCGCACATTCACAAGTCTAACTGCGTGTTCATAGTTTTTCTTCTCTTCACGTTGGTAGTGGTTTCCATTACGTTACCGTGGGGAGCTGAGATCTATGATCATGCAGTTGGATAGACTCTAGAGGTAATGCGTTGGTGTGTAGCTATTTGCTGGCTTGAGTTGCTCAAAGCCATTGCGTTGCATTAGTTTTATTTAGATTGGGTTTGCTTCAAATCTTTGCATTGCATTTTTGTGTTTATAAAGTTTTGGTATTGCAACTTGCTGATAACGCCTGATCACCTTCGATTGATATAACTTCTTGTGGTAGGAGCATCTAAGCCTTAACCTACCATAAGTGAGCGGCCAATACACGCCAGCCTTATATAAATACTTAATGATCAATTATTTGATATATCGTGTCATGTGAATTTTATATAAGCAGATGCGTCGTGAAATAAAAATTGAGAATGTTGTATGTTCTTTATTATTTTTTGAATAGTCTTAAATAATATAAATTATTTATATGAAAATAATTTCCTTTATTTAGCTTGAGAAATAAATTGTTTCCTTCCGTTACATTGTAACGTTTCGCTTATTTTATAAGTCAGGTTCCCGTTATAGTTAGCGCATAGAATAGGTATAATTTCATTAGATGGGTTAACGCGTTGCACGAAAATCCCGTGCAACATTCCCAGTACAACATTCTCAGTTAGCTAGCTATAGTCGACACGACAACAACGTTGAGAGATTTAAAATTGCCCGCCCGCCACACCCCATGAGGTTATTAATTGTGCTGCCATATTATTTAATAAATACCTCAAATAAGAATTTGTACATATTTTACCATGTTAATGCTGGTTGTTTTGTTACAAGATTTTTCGGCTTTAAGTTTCTATTGCAGGCCTTTTTGCTTGAAATATGATGGTTGTTCTGACTGGTGCTGTACCAAACTATAAGAGTCTTCGCTTCAAGATGTCAAACAGCAAAATATTGACTGACAATTGGATCTCATTCGCGAAACTCTTCACAATATCAGAACTTGTGTATGTGTGCAGTTTTGTGTGCGTTTTTGTAATTCTGTTAGAAGCAGTTATATCATAACGTTATCCTGCAGAGCGAACTTTGGCTAGCACCAGTGATTGTAAATAAAATATAAACAGTTGTTATAGACAATATTTCTAGAATATGTGTTTAATTTCCGGAGCTTTTCAGTCTACGGTCTACGTCATATTTGTACAAAGAATTATGAACTTTGAGTACAAGTTGTTGATTGCATTATATATATTTCATCATTGTCGCTCAGTTTCCGTCATTCGGGGGTGATCAGTTAAATTAAGTTAAATAATAAGTATCAAATTCAAAGGGTAATGTTTTAATAATAGCTTAACCTTCATTGTGGTCGTGAGCACGGTCTTTATCTCTTTCTGTTGGTATTTTGATACGTTACCGGAAGGGGAAAGAAGGCCGTGCTTGGGACTCTTATGTAATTACGTATACAATGCAAGGAGTTGTTATTGCCTGTACAGTACTGTATGTGTTTAAGTGTTTGCATTTGGTATATAACCTTCTAAACTGCTAATTAAGGTCGACTCGTGTCGCGTTCGAGTCACTAAGTTCTGGCCCTTATAGTACTTGGTAAGACTTAGATTGCGTTGCATTGCATAGCAGTTGTTGAGGTTATTTGGCACATTAATTAGTACCTTCTTTCGCAATTCACAAGTCTAACTGCGTGTTCATAGTTTTTCTTCTCTTCACGTTGTAGTGGTTTCCATTACGTTACCGTGGGGAGCTGAGATCTATGATCATGCAGTTGGATAGACTCTAGAGGTAATGCGTTGGTGTGTAGCTATTTGCTGGCTTGAGTTGCTCAAAGCCATTGCGTTGCATTAGTTTTTATTTAGATTGGGTTTGCTTCAAAATCTTTGCATTGCATTTTTTGTGTTTATAAAGTTTTGGTATTGCAACTTGCTGATAACGCCTGATCACCTTCGATTGATATAATTCTTGTGGTAGGAGCATCTAAGCCTTAACCTACCATAAGTGAGCGGCCAATACACGCCAGCCTTATATAAATACTTAATGATCAATTATTTGATATATCGTGTCATGTGAATTTTATATAAGCAGATGCGTCGTGAAATAAAAATTGAGAATGTTGTATGTTCTTTATTATTTTTTGAATAGTCTTAAATAAAACAAGAATAATCAATTCTTTAATATCTTATATCATCAGGAAAGAAACAAGAGCTGTGACAGCATGCTCGACTATTCTCAGTGCTTGACAGTAAGACTAGGCAATAACTCTATAAAAGGTAACTCAGTTATGAAACCTCTTCCCATCATGTTAGATAATCACAAAGAATAAGGTTCAAGCCATTCCTCTCAGTAGCTTTGGTTGCAAAAACTTAACCGAAGTGTTATGCTTACATTGTCATCGGCACCAGAATGAGGTCAATAAAACTCTGATTTAGGATCTTACTACTCATTCTGCCTAGAAGACAATGCTTTAACCCATAACCTTTTGGAGCAAAAGGCAATTAACCATTGCCACAACCATAAAGCCTGGCAGCCTGCATATCTGTACAGTTTTACCAGGCTCAATACTACTTGTATCTTAAGTTTTGTATTTCTATGTTGAAATCCCTTCCTTTTCAAATGGACTATTCCATATTCAAAGCAAGGCAAATCCATTTCAAAATTTCAGCAGGTTATACATTAAATCCTGATAATTTTGACATTTCAACATGACTTACTTTATGTTTACCAAGGGTGCCAAATGGTAGAGGTATGCCAGTGTTTGTGTCGATAAGAAGAACTTCAGCATCAAGTATAAGATCATCCCCAGATGGAAACGCTTTAGGAATAAATTCTTTGAAATGTGAAACCTGAAAAAAATAATTTAAAATATGAAATTTGCATTAGAAAGACCTTATCTTATTTTCAAAATGCAATGAACAAAGTCAAATCTCTGACAGGTAACATTCAGTAAATTTCACAAACTATTTTCTAATATTCTAATAGACAAAAGAATCAAACTATGTTATATCTGTATAATAATCGTCAGTCTTTTCAAATTTCAAAGTTGGGACTTTATCATTCATTGCACTATCTAGGAGAAAAGAAAATAATTATGAATACACAATCTGATATTAACATACAACATTTTTTTTCAAAATACTCTAAAAGCTTTACTTTTGCACCATTTAACCATGCTGTAATAAACTTGTCAGAAAATCTGTTTTTGTTTTGAAATGAATTTTTTTACACAGAGACCTTTCCTAAAAGTATAATCAAATCTTGAAAACTTGAACAATAAAATTTTTATGCCTTAGAATGATAATAAATGTCATATGTTGCAGTTTGAAAGTCTTGTTACTGCCAACATGCATGTAACTGAGGGACAGATATTCTGATGCAAGCCACAAGCATGTGTCAGATATTTTTCTTGCATATTTTTACCATATTTTGAATGGTTTACCTCAACAGATTTATTTGTCACGAAATTAATAACCCATTGATATTTAAATATAGTAGGATATGAGTTTACAACTTCTCAAAATGATAAATAACATCACACTTGGAAATATGATTAAAGGCCCATTATGCCTCAGAAATGCTTTCACTTTTATTTTGCAAAACCTTTCAATGTTTGGTATTTTATTAGTTTCAAAAAAAATACTCATTTGCCATATACATGAACTATGCTTTGTTGGCAATTGGTATTATTATAGTAAATAAATAATGGTATTTTGGATTATCTCAAAATACCACTTTGTTTACATTTTGCTACCTTTACTTGCTACCTTTGAAGGATTTTTTAGGTACAATAGGCTGATGTACAGAATAAAGAATATATCACCTTATGTGGTAGTACAGGTTTAAGACTTCTACTGAAGTATTGGAAGTCGGATCCTTTCTTGTGAAGTTGTACCCTCTCTCCGTCATACTTAATCTCAGCGTAGAAACCATTGGGACATTTCTTCATGGCCTGGCCCACTGATCTACATGCCTCTGCCTGAATAGTCAGTCAAGATGCATATAAATACTAAACACAACTTTCAATATCCCTTAAATATTAATAATATACCAGGGCTAAGCAATACATATATTCTGCCATGATTTCAATTTTTGGACTTGTCCGAAGTTTGTGTATTGTTATGATCTAAATATACATAAAAAGAACAAGCAATTATCATAGTATTGCAAGTAATACGAAATTCCCTTACTAAAGAAACTTTCATTTTCTCCAAATGTAATAATTTTCCTATATCAAAAATTTATTTTACTGATGTTTGACATTGTTATATGGCTGTATAAATAGTTGTTTGCACTATAACCCTTGCCTAGCAGTTTAGGTTATATAAGTTTACAACTAACGACTCATATAACCTGTCCGACATCTTTATAACCAAAAATAAATCTAAAACTATCAACATACCAGCATGGGTAATACAGGAGTCATTAATGAAGCTCTCACGGACAGTTTCTTGCCTAGACCAGGTTTTTCACCATTTCCTTTGTTCTCAATGACCCTCTCCACCACATCACGAAGGTCACGTGAAGCCTGGAATGCTGCATACGCATTTGGGTCAAGGGCATCTAGTCTAAAAATAGAAATAAACTCGACTGTTACAAGCTTGTTCGTGTTTGTTTGTTTGTGTCATTTTACGCCTTTTCCCAACAGTATTTCAGTCATATAGGCGGGTAGTTTCATAACCATCATTCCTGAAGACTTACACCAGGACTAGACTACCTTCCTCCGCGCCAAACTACCAAAGCATCTCCCGGGGATCGAACCAATGCCAGAGAGGTAACTGGATTAGAAGTCATGGACTCTAACCCCTCGACCACGGAGGCGGCTACAAGCTTGTTCAGAAGCTCAATTTGGTCATACCTTTTGTTATTCCACATTAAGTAAGTTATCTATTTAAAACAATTGCCAGCCAGAATAATTTAGATTTCTGAATATCTGAGATAGCATACTATTTTTATTATAAATGAAATAATAAATACATTTTATCAATAAACGTAAACTAAACACTGTCAATAAGCTACTTAAATCAAAGCTGCAACAGTTATTTTCTCTTGATCAAAGTTTTGTCTATATCCAATTAAAAATAGATGTACAGTCAAACCAGTGATTAAAGGCCCTCCCACATGATGGAGGGTGATGGTCTTAAAAAACAAATGGTTTTTTTTGAAATTAAATTTTTTCATTTTAATTTAATGGAAGGGGTTTTTAAAAAGTGGTTTTTACCCGGGGATTACATTTTGTATGGAGATGGTCTTTAAAAATTTGGTTTTAGTGTAGTTTTAAAATAAAATTTACAAATTTTTTGTCTACAAACCCAAATTTTCATGTCTTAGGGAATTTTTTTAGTTTTTTATTTTTAAAAACAGGGAAGAAAATTTTTTTCATAATTTGCCCGAGGAACTTTTTCATAGCATTAAAACTTTTTCAGCCCAAACCCAAAAATGTCTTATTTAAAACCCTCTTTTATGCCTGGAAAAGAGTTTTTTAGGTGACCCCCACAAAGGGGTTTATTAAAGTAATTTTTTAAAAGTTTTTATTTTTAGTACAAATTTTAAAAATGGTTTTCAATTTTAAATGGGTTTTAAACACAGATTTAGTTGTATATTATTTTTTCAATACATACATGTGTTTGGCCCCTGCATTTATTCTGAGATCATGCTTAATCAGTCGAATCACCATCTTTAGATCATTTCCAGTACACCTGTAATCAGAACAGAACAACAGATATTATGACCTCATAAATGTTTAAATAATACAAGACATACAACAGCAATTTTTTTCCTTAAATTGTGAATGAGTTCAGTACCATAACAAAAATATCCAAATTGTGCATTTTTTTCTTAAAAATGAAAAAAAATTTACCAAATGACCCTTTTTCAGATATTTCACAAAGAATTTACCCACTCTTTTTGCCCCTGTTACACTTGATAAGAAATGTTTTGCAATGTTACAACATGGTCAGAATATGTTCTAAAAAATATAACCAGTTCGCTGAAAAATCGATAACCAGTTCCGGCATAAGACTGAAAGACAAATCTAAATTCAATCAGCATAAAAAATCTTTGTCCACAAAGTTTGAATTATAAAAATACTGCCGCAAAATTCCCATTAAATCGGGTTTTATCTAATTGAAAGACCCTGGGTTAACATTATAACATATGGTTTTTGCTATTTCAGACATTAACTTGATTAACTGTTATTAAATATCTGTGAATTTCAAATTGGAAGCAACATAGAAATTATTTAAAGTAACTTTGCTTCAAATAAGAAAGCATATACATAGGCCTATGTAAAGCATTTACCAT